GTGGATCAACAGCACTAGCTTATTGAATGACTTCATCTCAATTATTTGTTTTTGACTCATTTGTATTTTGGACAATGAAAATTTATTTAAAATTTGAACTTGATATTTTGGTTCATATGTTTTACTGATATTTTAGTTATTGATGTAGAGGTAAGAGTAGTTTAAATTTTTAAGTTAATGATCAACTTGTTGATCTCGGATATATGTGATCAAAGTATGAATTAAAACTTGGAATTTATGTCCAATGACTCAAGGGAATGACAAGTTTTGCATATGGTAAATTAAGACCATATGGCTGATAATTCCTCATGTTTCAGATCGCTCTCCATTAAGACTATACGGTTGATAATTCCTCATGTTTTAGATCTCTCTCCAACTTGTGTGATAAGGGGCTGCTTGTGCTCAAATTAACACAGTTTCGACTAATGACAAGCCAAAGGATGTAAAGGTATCAATGTTGTTCATAAAGCTGCATGCCAGTGATCAATTATACTGTTTAATGTATAGTTACTGCATTAGAAAGTAGGATACTACATTAATTTTGTTATTACTGGCAGAAATTAGAAATTAACATGATGATAAAACATTTTATGTTTGTTATGAGGAAATTCCTTTTGCAAAACGTCTTAGACCTTCATTGCCTACCTAAGATCAAAATCTTGCAATAAAGCTCGTTTAGTAAGGGAGATGTTATATTTATTTAAACTCCTTTGAATTGTTTCTAATGACAGGAAGAAGATACTAAAAAGGTCCAGACAGTCAAAACAACTAAAAGAAAAAAAGGTGTCTCGCAGAATGTGGACTTCTGTTAAAAGAAAAAAAAGCAGCAAAAGTGGTAAAGGTGTTGGTGGACTCATCTAATTTTAAAAACAAAAATTTCCTTTTTTTTGTTTTACAATATAAAAGTGACTACAAACCATGGCCCTTCAAACATGTCTTAGATGCCCAATTCTTTTATGTGAACAGTTAACTCTAGGCAATCAAAGGAAAATTCAGGATTAAGGAAAGCTAGGCATGTGGTTTGGTATATGTGCAATTGTTTAGTCCATTTGGTTGCAGAGAAATCAAAGATTTATTTACTAGGTGTTTGAACTTGAACATCAAAGAAAAATTGCTTGTTTGGTATCAAGACTATCCTTGTAAAGCATTGGAAATCCTAGGAATGTGATCAAGAATGTGAATGGAGTATCCAGGTCAAGCTTTATACTGTGGAAATGAAACCAATTGCTTGTAGGGCTTGTTAACATCTGATTTGTGTGTTTGTTCATAAGAGTGCCTTCCATGTTGAGATTACTACTCTAGGGAGAGGAATAAATCTGGTTTGTTCTTAAGAATAGGGTAAGTAGGGTTATATGCTGTAAATACCCAAATAATAAGATTATTAACATATAAGATTATTAATGTAAGAGATTGGTATTTTACAATTTATCTTGCACGAATTGCCAACACTTTAGATCTCAATCTCATGATTAACAAGATCAATTACTAACATTCTATAAAAACTCTCTATCATGAGACTGAGATATTTGTAATTCTTACAAGATAAACTACAAAACCATTTTGGTAATATATATTAACATATTTAATATGAATCAAATATAACTTATTTACTAGCATTCTAACTAACTGTTATATACAAATCAAAGAGTTTAGAGTCGTCAATGAACCAATGATTTTCATCCCCAAGCAAAGTCAGGCTTGGTGTGGAAGTAAAAACACGTGAAAGTATCAAGTTTTGGAGTTCTTTAATGTTATTGATTGTGAGGATCTTGAGATCATAAGAAATAAGATGGCGACACATCCCCTTCGCCATTGTGATTAGCAACACAACTTGGTCACTCTTCCCCATCCATAAAAGCCCTTGGCAAGGGCCAAGTTGGAGGCCAACTTCGGTTGTAAGTTGCTTACTCCAAGCAGAATTCTCAAGCTTCATCCATTTCTCAAACCGAGCAATACCTTTGTTGAAATATTCTTGGGAATAGCAATCCACCAAGAAGGATATTTTCCTCCTCAACTCCCCCACGCCATGGAGAACTTTATAAAAATCTTCTTCTTCCCCAAAACAATCTAGTAATGCAACCTGTTTAAAGCTCTCCTCGATGAAATCAAACAGCAAGATCAAATGCTGGACATTATCATCTTTTGTTTTATTAACAAACCAATAAAAAGGTCTGTTGTAAACTAATGAATGCTTGCCAAAAAGGTAGCATGAACCTGTAGGGTAAGTAGAATTGTTAACAACTTTCCATGAATTTTTTATTTCTGAGTAAACTTGAACTTGTGTCAATCTTTTAAAAATAGATTCACTGAGAATTCTCACCACTTTGAAATTACTGGTGGAGGAATCATAACCAAAACTAATATCAACATCACATCGGGAGGCAGGGTGGAAATTTCAGAGAGGAGGATCAGGAAGAAACTTGAGTCTTTTGATGGAAGGGTTTAGAACAACTAAGCTGTGACAATCATACAAAAATAGTAGCAGGCCATGGCAGCTAGCAACAATTTTAAACAACCACCAACCGTGCAGGGAGGAGTTCAATATCTCTACATCTGAGATTAATCAAAGCTGCAGAGATCTTTAGCATTTAATCTGTAGGAGAAACTTTTTATTTGTTTGATTGACATGGTGAAGGTGGTCGAGGAAGAATTGAGAACTAACAATAACCTGAGACCACAACCTGGACAGGCACGTGAATTGGACAAGTGATTCAACCGGCAATCTGGTGAACATGTCAACAATCAATTCATTCGGTACCATTCTGTTTTCATGGGGATGTAGGGAAGAAGAAGACAGAAATGATAAGGAAAAAAAAAAATCATTAAGAATATTTGAATAATTTCAGAGACAATCCTTATATTTTAAATAACAAGGGGTTCTAATTTTTACTTTTCTCTATAGTTTACGATACTAAATCTAGCATAGCATGCTTTATTTTATAAATAAACTGGTAGCATGCTGCTTCCTTTAAATGTTACTTATTTGCTTCACTAAGGTCCTAATTTATCAGAGTATCAGACCCAGATTTGGATACTGCTTTTCCAATAAAACACATTCCATTCCAACCAAGAAAACATTCAGACTCTATGACTAAGATGCTGAAAGCACAATGGTAAAAATGAAGTCATCAAAATATATAAATTGAATTAAACAGGACAAATAGTGTCTCATGAAAACCAAAAGCAAATTGTGAATACTACAACTACAATGTTAAACATCATACCATTGAGAGGTCCTCAAACCACTAGTTTTCTTCCCCAACTAAGGCCAGGCTCGGTGTATAGGCAAAAGCACAGGGTCTCTGCTCCTCACCATGGTCAGTCAACTTCAAGGTCTTGAGGTCACAAGAGAGAATACGGCCAACATTAGAACGTGTTAACAGTAGCATAACTTCATCATTCATCGCCAAGCATCTAGGTGCATGAAGCTGCCTCACATTGACAACAAATTGTCTAACCCAACCAGAATCCTCCATCATCCACATCTCCAATGAAATACCCGCAGCAGAATGAAGCAACAAGGATAGTTTCCCCTTGACTTCCCCCAAGCCGTTAACTTGGTAAAAATAAGCTTGATCTTCATAGAAACAATCTGGCATCTTAATCTCTTTAAATGTTTCATCAGTGAAATCAAACTTCAAGATCGAGTAACAATCACTGATTGCAGAGTTTACAAACCAATAAAAAGCTCCATTAACAACTACTTGAGGCTCATATAAGTCGTATAAAAAATTGGGAACATTACTAAGAACCTTCCATGAATTTTTTCTTAGTGAGTAAACTTGAACTTGTCTCCATCTTTTTGAATGAATTTCTCGAAAAATTATCACCATCTTAAAATCACTTGTGCGGGAATCGAAACCAAACCCAATTTCAGTTGAGAAGCTTGTTTGATCTACCAACCTATAACCACGGGTGGGGGGATAGAAGGAATCCTCCAAATTGGGAAAAAGAACAAGCTTTAACTTTTTAATTGAAGGGTTTAGAATACCTAAATAGCGAATGGATTGAGGAGAAGTTGCCAAACACAGAACCCCATTGCAGGAACCGACCATTTCCCACCGTGAACGAGACGGCAACAGAACCTGTGGCCCTAATACCACCGGTTCCCGAAGCAATTGGTGATGGCAGAAAGACAAAGATCGCAGGGTTAGAGGCTTCTCACTAATCTGAAGGAGAAATTGTTTGTTGATCTGGTTGGAGTGACGGAGGTGAAGGTGGAAGAATTGAGGATCGGAGATGACCTGATACCACGACTTGGACAAGCACATGAATCTGATAAGAGATTTCACTGGCAATTTAGCGAATATATCAACGATTAATAAGTCCTCCGGCAGTTCAATATTGGCATTCATCCTCTTCCCTGCAGAATTGGGGTTTTGACAGTGTTGAGCAGAAAGGAGATAAAGCGATCTTACTTCCTCCGGTGACTTGTTGACTTCGCTCTTATGCTTTCACTTCTACTTTTGGTTATTTATTGGTATAAGGTACTTGGTTTGACAAAAAGTGAAAATTAAGGGGGTTTAAATTAAAAAAATTAAAAAAATTAAAATTATAACATTTTAATATTTTTAATATAAAAAATTTTATGAAATTGTTTAAATATATTTAATGAATTTTTTATATATTATTTTATTAAAAATATGTAAATAATTTTATAATGATTTTAATATTTTAAATATTCAGGTATCTTACCTTTTTTATATTTTAAAAAAAATTTATTACTTTATTTTTGATATTTTAATTGTAAAAACTCTTATCTTAAAAAATATGTAAAAATTAACAAAAATATGTTATGTAATTTAAATTATTTATACAATTTAAATTATTAGATAAAAAATTCTCTAAAATATATCAAAAACGAATCCTTGTGTTAAACTCTTAAATTAATTTCATATGTTAAATTGAGTTTTTAGATCTTTTTAAAAGTGAATAAACTTTGAAATCTGAAAATATGTGCAATTTTATCCTTTTTCTAACAATAAATTATAAATTCGTAAAAAAAATAAAAAAAAAAAAAGTTAAAATTACATTGATTATGGGATTCATAGTTTTATCTAATTTGAAAATAAAATTTAAGGCTGAATTTAGAATAAAAGAACAGTTAACGAGTTTCAACTTTCAACGTTGTCTCAAACCAAGCGTTAATTTTTTATAGTCCAATCCAAACATCAGACAATTTCCAATTTGGGTTTTGGTTTACTGATTTTTCTCTTTGGGTCTTTGGGCTTACTATTCAGTAGCACCAGTGAGTTAATCCATTTGTTGTAAATTTTACGCTACGATTGGTTTTAAGTATGTTGCCAAGGGATGTTAGCTGCTATGAATACCTGATGATCAAATCAAGCAAGACAAATCTACCTATCGTAAAACAAGCTCAATGCTATTTTTTTAATGCTTAAGTTCATTTTAATCTCAAATCTGTTAGTTTAGCTTTAACAAGACGTTTTAGTCTACATTAGTCTTCAACCTTAATTTAATGTCTTTTCCTTTAAAATTTCCAAAAATTAGTTATGGTTCTCTAAGAAAGCAATTCAATTCCCTTTTTCTTGGTTTTATAATAGTAAAATTCGCTGCTTTCAGTAATAATTCTTTGTAGTCAAATTGCTTCCTTTCATTTATTGTTTTCCTAAGTTCTTTTAATTTAATTAAGTGATGTTGATATTCAATTTCATATTTTGTTTTGTTTTTGTTGATTTATACTTCATGCTACCAGTAGATTTTCCATGTTTCCAACCTCATTTGCTTTAGTTTAATTTGTTTTTCTATATTTAGATTTTCTTTTGAAAGCTATATTTTCATGCAATTTGTATATTTAAAATTCATTAGAGCGTTGATTTTGAAGAAAAATCAATTATTGAGCTTGATTCGATTAAAGAGATCATCATATGGTAGTTGCTAACAATACATTTTGACTCCTTCAAATTCAAAACTGTTGGAATAGGCCCAACATTCAACTTGGGCTGTACATAATGGGTCTAGACTGCTGCCCATTAGATCAAAGTGAGGGAGCACCAATACAACAAGTACAAGCATACTCACGTGGGCAGCGCCACGTGGGTCAATGGGATGCTTACATGTACAGATGCATGTCAGCATTTGGGGCTATAAATACCACCCAACTACCTCCGATGAAGGTAATTAACTTCTACGACTCTCTCTCTGCAATTACTCTTTGAGAGCATCTCTCTCTATTGAGTATTGCTGACTTAAGCGTCGGAGTGTTTTACCCGATGAAACATCCTCGGGAATTTCAGGTGTGGAAGCAGTCGAAGATATCAACAGTGTTGGATCACGAAGCTGCCCAAACAAAAACAAATGGGGCTCGTGGCTCTTTCTAGTTAATTTGCAAAAAATGGGTGGAAACAGAGTGTAAGCTAATTCATCCAAGAAATTTCAATCCTTTCTATCTGTTTTTTTTATCTAATTCAAGAATTTCTTCACTTGGGTCCGAATTTTTTTCTCTTTTATTACATGGCAGTATATGGATTCAAAGATGTCCCAGCATGGCCTAGTTGGGTCTGAATCTGATTCACAGAGAACCTTGTAAGTTCTCTCTCTCAATCTTCCCACTGATTTGTAGATATATGCGTAAGAGAACTAGGGCTTGTTGTTGTTGGGTATTCTCTTCTTTTTTTTTTTTTTTTTTTTTTTTTGTTGATAAAGGGGTATTCTCCTTTTAAATTTTGGATTTTGAATTTTTGTGGGTTTTGGAAATTTTGGATATATACCCATATGTGACCAGTACATCAGTGGTGGCTTTGAAGTACAAAGATGGGATTCTGATGGCTGCTGATATGGGAGGTAATTGTGCGCACATTCACTAGTCTCTCTAGTGTTCCTTTTGATTTTTGCTTTAGCTGTACTAGTATGTAATTGGAAGAACAGAAATTTGGGTCTTTTGTGATGGTTGTTCATTTCAAAGATGGAATCTTAACTTTACATCCTAGTTGATCTCTTTAGTTCGATTGTAATGTTATTGAGATGAATAATGATATATACACCCTGTAAAGTTACATAATTCATTATACAATTCATTACACACTAACAAAAACTATTAGTTTTAATGATACAAATATCAGAAACCAACAGTGACATCACCTTTGAGGCAAAATATATTTATAGTCCCTCACTTTGATAAGTTTGAAAATTTTAGTTTTTTATTTTATATTATGAAATTTTTAGTCTCTGAATTTAAAAGTTTAAAGATTTTAACTCTTATACTAATGGGATCCTTTAACTTTCCGTTAACATGATAATAAAATATTTACAAAATCAATCCTTAGATATTAAAAATATAACAATTTAGTTCTAAAGTTTAAAAATTAAAAAAAAAACTAATAAATTAAAAAGAATTAAACCTCTAAACTTAAAAGTTTAAAGATTTTAACTCTTATACTAATGGGATCCTTTAACTTTCCGTTAACATGATAATAAAATATTTACAAAATCAATTCTTAGATATTAAAAATATAACAATTTAGTTTTAAAGTTTAAAAATTAAAAAAACTAATAAATTAAAAATAATTAATTGATGTTTTTGTCACATACATGAGAACAATATTAGATATTTACAATCAAATTGAGTTATTAACTTAATATAAAAAAAGAAATCTGACTAAGATTAAAAAAAATTTTCTTAGTTATATTATTTGTCTTTTGGATTTTTTATCTTAAATCAGTTAAGAAAATTTTCTTTAATTTTAGTTAGAATTCCTTCTTAAAATTGAATTAATCATTTGATTTATCATAGATATCTAATACTGTTTTCGTATATGTGGCAAAAATATTTACTAATTATTTTTAATTTAATAATTTTTAAAATTTTTAAATTTTAGATACTAAATTATTATAATTTTTAATTTTTAAATATTGATTTTGTAAATATTTTATTCTCACGAAAAGTTAACTATCCCTTAACTTAAGGGCTATAACACCTTCAAATTTTTTAGTTTAAAAGTTAAAAACTTAATAATATAAAATGAAAGTGTAAAACTTCAAAATTATTAAAATGAAGGGCTAAATATATACTTTAGTCATCTCCTTTGTCTAACGGTACCGATTTGAGGAGTTTAAGATTTCGTTACATTTTTTTTTCACCTCTCTGACTTTTAGGGATTTCGTTACATTTTTTTTTTCACCTCTCTGACTTTTAGGGGTTTGATTGCGCGCGCGCGTGTGCGTGTGGGGGTTCTACAATTTTTTTTTTTTATTCTCTTTCCATTTATGCTAGAAAAAAGGACATACTGGGGCTCACTTCCTCCTGTCTGACTGATTGACCTCGCTCTCACACTGTCCACTTACATGTGGCAAAATTTAACCCAATTTAATATAAAAAAACAACTAATTATATACATATAAAAAAAAAAATTTAACTCATAAATCAACTCATATCCCATTAGAATCAAGTTAAGATCAACGTTCATTGACTTACAACATACATATGACCCAACATGTACAATTTGTAACTCACATAGACCCAACTTAAATTCGACCCAATCTGCTTGTTTCTCACCTCTATATCTACTTCTACTTTTAGTTATTTATTGCTCTAAGACATTTGGTTGGACAAAAGTGAAAAAAGAAATTATAAAAAGCAAAAATTAAAATATTTTAATATTTTCATAAAATTATTTAAATATATTTAATAAATTTTTTATATATTATTTTATTTAAAATATTTAAATAATTTTATAAAAATTTTAA